TCAGCTTTTATCATTCTTCACATCATATTGTCACTCATCCAGATACTCTTCAGGGGGTTCTGTCTGTCAGAAGGTTAAGGATGTTAGCCTGTCCCCTGACTGTTGGGAATCAGGACTAAGTTTGTTTTCTTTTTCGGAAGTGTTCCCAGCTGTTCATTATCCTGTTGAGCCAACACGGAGATCTGTTTATTCCTTCACGTACTTTTCTGTCACCGACCTTATCTTTATTTGGGTGACAGAGGGATCACTGTATCTGGGGTCTTTGTTCTCTTTTATTTTGGCTGTGTAAAGCTTGTGTGAGATCACCGTGTCTGAGGTTTTATTTGTTTGCTTTGAATGTTATCCTCAGTCACGCTCCATGAACTTGCTGGGGACTTGATCTTTGTTGACTCTGCCATCTCAGAAAATAGAGAAAATAGGTAAAGCCAAAAACAGTAACTGGAAAAGCTCCTATGGAGCAAAACTATAACATGGCAGAATGATTCAGGAAGGGAACATTATTGATTGTGAAGCCTTAGTGAATGTTTTTAAGGTCTTTTTGTTTGTTTGTTTTTGTCTTTTAACAAGCATTTAGGTTAGGGTAGAGATATTTTAAGTATACTATTTCAATGATGAAATGTTTTAAGAAAAATTTACTTTTTGTAGGAAATCTACATTTAATTTTATAAATAAAAATTATATCATTAAATGAAAAAAACCCTCTACTGTCAAATTATATTCCAAAATAAATTTCAGAGGTATAAAGACTCCAATGTAAAGAATAACATGAAATCTGTAAGAAAATAAAAGTAAATATTTGTCTGATCAGGACAGGAGACTTTGCAAGCCTACAGAGAAATAAAGAAATAGACTATATTTTTGTGTTTTGTGAGCATAAAACAATAGATAGACAGCATTAAAAAAATGAACAGCTTTTGGGGCCAGCTATTGAAATTATAGGGCCCAGTTCAAAATGCAAATGTGGACATTGTGTTCAGAAAGCGGCAAATGTATCAGTAACGGTACTAAAACATAAAGCCTCTTTTTCTTCTATAGTCTCTCTTATCTTGTCAAGGTGGTTTTTATTTGGTATTTAATGTCATTCTTAGTAAGGAAATCCAAATTTTAAATTATTGGCATGAATTTTTAATTTTATTTTTATTTTGTATGTTACTAGTTTTAAATGCAAATATAAGAACACTTTGGCTCAGCACCCGTAGTTCAGTGGTTAGGGCACTGGCCACATACACTGAGGCTGGCAGGTTTGAACCTGGCCCCAGCCTCCTAAACAATAATGACAACTGCAACA